CATGATTTTCCAGCTGCAGGACATTTTGGATTCAATAAGACCTTGGAGCTTATTTCCCGAGATTTTTGGTGGCCCCAAATGTCGAAGGATGTGAAAGATTTTGTCCTCTCTTGTGACATCTGTTCAAGATCTAAGAATCCTCGGCATCGCCTTTATAGACTTCTACAGCCATTGCCAATTCCATGTCGACCATGGTCTTCAATTTCTATGGACTTCATCACGGACTTGCCATCATCAAACTCATTTCACAACATCTTTGTCATGGTAGATCGGCTTACGAAGATGGCACACTTTGTTCCTTGTAAGAAGACATCGTCCAGTGAAGTCACAGCAAGACTCTTTCTCGATAATGTGTATCGATATCATGGACTACCAGATGATATCATATCAGATCGAGGTACCCAGTTCGTGTCAAAGTTTTGGAGATCTCTCTTTGGGATATTGAAGGTGGATATCAAGCTTTCTTCAGCTTTTCATCCTCAAACTGATGGCCAAACGGAACGGGTGAACCAAGTCTTGGAGCAGTACTTATGATGCAGCATCAACTATTAGCAAGACGATTGGACTGCATATCTACCGCTAGCCGAGTTTGCATATAACAACACCCTCCATGCGTTGACTCAACAAACACCATTCTTTTCCAACTATGGGTATCATCCGAAGCTTGATTTATTGAGTCCGTCAACAAATAACAATCCAGCAGCTGAAGGATTTGCGAAGCAACTATCAGAGCTTCAAACTATGTTGAAGCTTCAATTACAATCCGCTCAAGAATCCTATAAGACGTCTACAGATAGATTTCGGAATCCAACACCTACTTTCAAAGTTGGAGACAAAGCTTGGCTTCTTCGACGAAATATCAAGACCAAGCGACCATGTGATAAGTTGGACTATCGAAGATTGGGACCATTTATCATCCAGAAGCAAATTAATCCAGTGGCATACCGGCTAGAGTTACCGGCTTCTATGAAGGTACATCCAGTCTTTCATGTTTCTCTGTTGGAACCTTATCGAAAGTCATCTTTTCCTAGAAGAGTGCAATGTCTGCCACCTAGTATTGAAATCGAGAACCACGAAGAATACGAGGTTGAAAAGGTATTGGATTCACGGCAAAGGTGGGAAAAGTTAGAATATCTTGTTCATTGGTGCAGCTATGACATTAATGAGCGAACGTGGGAGTCAACTGAAAATCTTGCGAATGCGCCACAAAAGGTACAGGAGTTTCATCAACGACATCCCGATAAACCTAAATCAATTCGATGATAGCTTCTTTCTGAAGCTTGTTCTCCCAACAATATAAGAAAAAGGGAGAGCACCAGCAAAATTCATTGTTGATGTAGTTATTTTCTCCAAGATAGATCGTAGTTTGGTCTTTTGAAATGGATAGCCAAGAGATAGATACTATGCCAGTCAGAGTATCGCAACCAAGTAGCTCACGAAGGCGACCCCGAGATGAAGAACTACATGTACCACGACGACGACGGAGGATACCGAGTAACCGATCACTGGTGATCGTATTTGAGATCGAGCCTGCTTACAATGGTCAACCAGAAGGCGTGTTTGCAGGACAATTTCACAATGAGGACACGGAAGTTCATGCTTGGTCAGAAGTCAAAGGCGTGGGCCACTACCGTTGGCTTCAAGGGTCGATGAACCACTTGCCTCGTGAACAACAGTTGGAGTTCATAGCAGAAGTTATGCGATAAATCTTCATTTTCTTGCGTTGGTACTGATCAACAACATTGCTTCTCAGAGACCTCGAAGCTAAAGGAGGGGGTGATGTTAGGGACATATTCCTTAGAACCTTTTAGAGAGAAGTTTCTAGAAGCTTCTAGAAAGGAATCCCCTGGAACTTTCTAGAAGCTTCCTAGTTAATAGAAGTAGCTCGAGAAGTTTCTAGAACCTTCTAGAAAAGAAGCCTCTGGAACCTTCTAGAAGCTTCCTAGTTAATAGAAGTAGCTCGAGAAGCTTCCTAAGTAGGAGTATATATAGGGATCGAGGCTGAAGAGTTCTTCAGTCTCGACAACACATCTCTTCGAGTTCTAGCTCACCTTTCTGGTGTTGTTCTTGTACTCATCTGTTTAATCTAGTTCTGCCACTTCTTCTTGAACTTCTTGTTAGATTTCAAGTCTATATTTTGTGTCCGTGACACAAGGTCGAAAAAAAATAGTAAATCATAAATACATTGAACTTTCAAAATCATTTTATTTGATGTATAACATATATTTACAACAAAGCAAATAATGTTTACTAATTACAAAACACATATCACTTACCAAAGTATCAATCTTACACAAATAAAGAATATAACACAATAATGACATACTATTTATATATATAAAAACACAAAAACAAACAAAAGAGAAAAGAAAAGAAATCCTAGTAGATTTAAATCCGGTAAAAATAAAATTAGAAATTAAGAATCTTACTATTTAGATTTAGTTCTTTGATTTATTTCAATCAAGGTTGCATTACGTACTTAAAGTAAGTCCTTAACTACCAATAATATACATTGGTTCAGACTGTTATAATATATAATTCTATTTGAAGTATTAATTATTGAATTTCATACTTACATTCTAACAAAAAAAATATCAATTCCTATGTGTTTTAATTTCAACCTAAATGTGTTGAAAGTGGTATGTAATGTTTAGTTTTATTTTAGAACAAAGAACCACAAAATCAAATTATAATCCTTTAAATAAATTCTATTTTATATTAAAAATATTTTATGAATAAATATAATTAATATTTTATAATATTAATTTTTTTAATCTTAATAATTTTCTAATATTAACTTATTTCTATAATAGATTCATATAAAGAAATAAAAAAATAAAAAATAAAAATATAATCTTATCAAATAAAGATATAAATTATTATTTTTTTTCTAAAATAATAGTTTTAAATTATAAGTATACAATTTTTCTTAGTTTAGCTTTGTGATACTTAATTTATATTTATTTAGATATAATAATATATAAATTCTTTTAATAGAAAAATCTAACTCAATATTCAAATTAGAAGATTGATTAAACATGCTTAATCAATCTTAGTAGATTTATATAAAATCATATATAATGAAAATAAAAAATAAAAATAAACAAATAAATAAATTTAACAAAAACTTTATTACTTAGTGGAATGATTGTAGATAGCACTTAAACTATGAACCTACAAAGATAATTCTCTATTAAGATGGTCCTTTGGAACATTGGATAATTAATCCACCTCTTATCAAATATATCAACTCATAAATACAACTTTCCAAATTGCTCAATTTGTTTTTACATCTTTGAGATATTAAGAACTTGTCCAAAAGTGCATTCTTTTGGCTATTTTATCAAGAAAATAGAAACTCACATATCAAACAACAACAAAGCAATTGAGAGAAAAGAGAGAGAGGCAAAGTATATGGGAACCAATATCCAAGGAGTCAAACTCCACATAAGCACACACATACTCAAACAAGAGACAAAATGATGCACTACAATGGAAGTAAGAAAACCCAAGAGCATCATTGTACCAACAATGCAAAAGAGGGAGGAAGAAATATATATATACATACACACACACACACACACACATATATATATATATATATATATAATAAAATAAAAACACAAACAAACAAACAAAACATAACAAAAGAGAGGGAGGGAGTGGGGCGAGAGAGCCAAAAGGGGTGGTGGAGAGGGAGTGCTTGGGGAGAGTCCACATCCCCAATGCCAGATTCGCATTCTCAAAGTGGACGGCATTCAATCTTTACGCCGGTCCGAGGCCACGGTATTTATTACCCACTCGGGTGTGTCCAAGCCTCGCCCCGGTAGACCCCACCCGCGATCGCCTTTCTCACCCCCTTCCGCCGCAGCCGCGAGGCAACGCCTCGAAAGCCGCTGTCGTCAGGATTGGCTTCTACCTTCGACACACTTCGGAAAGCGTCGCGTCCACGCTAATACTCCAAGTATTGGAGCCTTTTCCTTGCGGATATTCTGCCCAATTTGCAACTAGGGGTAGCACGTGTGAATCGAGTGACGCGAGAAAAACTTGGGTGGGGTTCAAAGTGCGGTGCTTGGAGGCGCAATGGTTCGCGTCGACGGTTTCGCATTTCAGTCGCGATGTTGCGGGGTGGATGCGATGCTTTGTACTTTGGATCTGCAATGAGTGGGCAGTGGGTCGTGGTTCATCCCTTTCGTCGTGGCCCTCTCGTCCCTCCCTTCCCTCCGAAGCATTTAATCCCGTGAATTGAATAGGGGTCGGAGTCTTCTAATGCTATCTATTAGAAGAACCCAAACCCCTAGCTTTTACGGAGTGTTCGTACTTGAACAGGTGTTCAAGTGATAGTGTACGAAAATATCGAACTCCTGTCCATATAAAAGTAAACATCGAGTTGAAGCCTAAAGTTGTGGAAAGAAATAGTATTCCATCCTCATTAAATCGATCCAGATGGATATGGACGTTCCATTACATGCTGTTTTCTTTCGCAACCAATAACAATTGTTGGTCTACGAGTTTTTTTTTTTTTTTTTTTTTTTTTTTTTTCTTTCGTCGACTGGGTGGGGAGTGTGTTTGGATTTTGAGGAATTGTCGTATTGGCGGGGTCTAATTGTAACTGGGTCGTAAGGGGATCCTGAGTCACCACCTTCGACCTCCCGAGTTTTGGACAAAACCAAATTTGTGCTTAGAAGCTGCCAATCATGGAAGGCCTGACAAATGTTTCAAACCCTGCGCTGACGATGATGTTTCAAATGCACCAACCGTGGAACTGGTGATCGCAGCCAGTCGTCAACCTAACAGCTGTCACACTTGGAGATCGCACAATCCTGTTGCAGGTAATAAATATAAACCAAAACCTGGAAAATCGAAGGATTTTACCGAGAAGCTGATGATAGGCAGAATTTCGTCAAATCATCTCTAGACTAGCATTTGGGTGTCACCAATGGTGCTGCAGCTGCGTCGATCTATTCGATGAGGTGAACCAAGCAAACCTTCTCGAAAGTGATTCATCAATCGTATCACGGAGCCAGTCACATGGTTCGAATCACATTCATTATGAGATCAGTTAATCGCCGGATCGTGAAGCAGAATTAGAGCATTAAGGCAGGTCACGCTGAGGGAGCGGCGGATACTTGGCCCCAACGGACCGTAAATCTTTGATCGCTATCGGGATTTGACTTGTGACGGGAGAGGAGGGGCTGGGAGGGACAAAGAAGGTAAAGTTTATTACCGGTCAGGTATCAAACGTTTGGCTTTGCAGGATCATTTACTGTTCTTTGGTTCCTTAACCTGCGTGTCCGGAGTCTATGGTTGGGGGCATTCGTAGGATTTGTGGCTCTCTTGTTATTATCCAGGTTGTGGATGACGGATTATCGTTGCCCCCTTTTCTGCGGATGCCCGTGCGTCCTGTTTCGGAGGTAGGTTTTACGTTTTGAGAGTTGGAGGTTACAACTGGGAGCTCATGGAAAGAGTGCTCAAGTTCTGGAGCACTGGAGTATCGGATTCGTTGGGCATGTGTTGCAGGAGGTTGTTAAGGGTGTCGAGTGTGTGTGGGAGTTGATGGAGTAGAGGACATGGGGGATTTTGAATTGAAGGCGTTTTAGGGCTTGGGGCTGCTAGTCCAGGTGTTGCAGTTTGCAGTGGAGCTTTGAGGAGGAGGTGAAGAATTGAGGGAGAGTTTACTGTTGAAGTGATAGGAGGGAGTCTGCACTTGCAACGATGGCTGTTGCGGCATTCAAATCCACGACCCGTCGACAGTGGGACATACGGGGGGTAGAGATTGAGCCATACTCTTCGCTGAACACGAGCCCGACGAGACGGTCTGTGTCGCGCAATATCTCTCCAACGCGCCGTTCGACGTCACGTAACCCTAGTCCAACTCGCCGCTCAACGTCAAAAGCTCCAAGTCCCACACGTCGTCGTTCGACATCCAAAGATCCTAGTTCCACGCGCAGACGTTCAGTTTCGAAGGCTCCCAGTCCAACTCGCAGACGTGCGGTGTCCAAGGCTCCTAGTCCAACTCGCAGACGTTCGGTGTCCAAGGCCCCCAGTCCAACTCGCAGACGCGCGACGTCTAAAGCTCCCAGTCCGACTCGCAGACGCTCGACGTCCAAAGCTCCCAGTCCTACTCGTGGTCGTCGCGGAGTGTCGCGCAATCCAAGCCCAACTCGCCGCGCCGTATCCAAAGCTCCGAGCCCCACGCGCCGGGCCGTATCGAGAGTTGTGAGCCCTGTGAAAGCCAGGAGGCGCTCGCCCTCGCGAAATCCAAGTCCCACTCGCGGACGTAGAGGTGTGTCACGGGGTCCGAGTCCAACTCGGGCTGCTCGTCTGACCCAAGTCACTCCTCCAAGCACTCAATCTCACCCCGCCAGTCCATCAAGACGACGGGAGCCTTCTGTAGGACTTCGCTCCCGTGCCACTTCTCCCCAGAGGAGCAGCATCGTCAGGCCTGGGGAGCGCGTCCGTCGAAGAACTACTAATGCTGCCACTACCGACGTGCCTTATTCACCATTTCTTCCCGGCTCTCCTGGTGCCTCCGATTCTTCGCTCATTCCGACTCGTCAGAGTGGAATTGGGTTAAGGGGATCGTCTCGGATGGTCCCGAGCGATTCCGAGAGAAGTACGGTCAGGACTCTTGCGAGCGACTCTGAGAGCGAGGTAGAGCCACGGTACATGCGGAGAGCGGATAGGACCGGAAGCATAAGCACTCACCGGGATAGCTCCGATAACGAGAGCGTTCAGTCGTCAAGATCTACAAGGAGGAACCCAATTGGAATGCGAGATAGAGTGTCGCGAAGAACTTCGAGCACGCAAATGGAGGTGCGAAGGTCATTGGCCAATTTGGAGCTCTCAGACTCAGCTACACCAGTCTACTATCAGAAACCCAAACCTGCAAGTGTGGAGGATCATCACCATCGCATTGTTGGAAGAACCGATGGAGACGTCCAAGTGGAGGGGAGAATTGAGGAGAAGACTATTCAAGAGGTTCACACGCAAACGAAAGTTCATACCCTATGTTACAATTGCCTGTATGATGTGTCTGCGCCCACGGATGCTCCTGTGGATGCTGTATCTCCCGTAGGGCCCATAAAATTGAAAGTGCTTGGCACTTCGAGAGAGGCTCCTGCGCCTGGAGACGTAGACTTCATGGCTTTATACACCGCGAGATGTGAAGAGCTTCGGAAAGCTGTGTCAGATGCGAGGAACGAGCTGGAGAATGTCAAGGAGGAGAGTCTGCGGAAAGTTATAGAAGCCAAGTTGGAGGTTTCAGAGAGGAAAGTCTCGGAACTTTGGTCACAGTATGCCACCGAGGAACAAAGATGTCTTCATCTGGTGAATGCTGTGAAGGACATCAAAGAAGGGTCCGTAGACTCTTTGGATGTGGAAACGGACGAACTACAGCAGCGGATTCCTATTCCGGTGGAGGACATGAAGCCCCAGCACAATCACCGATATCCAATGGAGGACATGGACGAGTCGGACTTTATTAGACAATCCCTAGATGAGGAAGCGGCACGGTACTTTGAGGAGTGCGCGATCATTGCAAACTTCGATGCAAATGTCATAGATGTAGACGACATATCCGTGAGTAGTGGCAGGGTGAGTGACGGCGAGACGACGGTGTGTGACGATCTCAGACCATCTTCGAGGAGACAAAGCTCGGATAGTCAAGAGGTAGTGTCGATAAGGAAGAAGGAGATTAAACCCCTTGATGATGAGGGCATGCTATTGCCTTGGTTGGATTGGGAACCGGAAGTCGATCTCGGAAGGAAGGAGCGCATTGAGAAAGCAGTATGCGACTTTCGAGAATGGAAGAGTGCATGGGCTCAGAAGTCAGTGGAGTGGGGGAGGAGTTCTAATCGGGAGCGAGGAAAAGATGAAGGTGTCGTGAACGTTGACGAGTTCCTGTTTGAGAGGACCCGATTGCAACCTCGCATTTCACAAGGCAGGATGCTCGTCTGCGGCGGAAAGCGGTGACTGAATTGTGACTTTATGAGAGAAGAACGGGGTGAGTTGTGTGGATGGTGCAAGTGTATTTTATCGGTATCTCATCTATGTGATGACTGTCGTCTGCTTATCTCCTCGGAGCTGATTTCTCCCTAGGTTTGGAGGTAGTGGTCAGCTTCTGCCAGATATCTTTTATCTTGCTTCTTTCAGTCACCACCCAGATGGTGTCCAATCGATACCGATTTCTTTTACGGCTTAGTTTTCGAATTCTCCCTCCCCTGTCAGTCTGAAGTGAGGTCTGTGGCGCCATCTCGCGGAGTGGGTGACTATGAATCACATGATAGAAAATGTCTTCCCCTTAAAGAGTTGATCAGCAGAGTTGAACCTAACGTTTCATCGGCAAATGTTAGAATACAGTATAGTTTTTAGCATTGTCTTCTGAGCACGAATATCTCGGAGGCTGCTGGAGAGGGTAACGGCTGTCTATGAGGAGGTATAGTACCTCTGTAGACTCAGTTTTGATGTTAATACATCTCCGTTGCCGAGTTTTAGTAATCTCGTTTGCAAGGAAGACCCTGTATCACTAGTGTTCATCGCTTTGTGTACTATTTTTTTGATTGGAAGCGAGTGCCATGTATGAAGCTTAGATTGAAACGACGAAGAATTCCTTCAGTCGCCCACAAAATTTCTCTCTGGGGTGTAACAGATGAAGATGTAAAGCAAAATTTCATTCACGAAATCCACTCCTGAAGGCTGGAGAGGATGATGTAGTTTATGGCGGGTAAAGAGCATGGAATGGATTACTTGATTCGTTGGAACATGTTGAACATGACTACTTGGATATCATTCTCAAGGAGATGCAGAATTGACGGCAAGAATTGCCTGTTACAACCAGCAGCTAGAAGAATAACTACGAGCTACGTTTGTTACCTTGATCTTCCCTTGATTCGTAAAAGTCAAAGTTTGTAATGTATTGTACCACTTTCTGGATTGTCATTTCACTTCAATCTGAATAGAGAGCTGTGGTTTCCAAATCATCTTGTAATGGTCTTTTATGGCCCATATAGAGGTTCACTGCTGTGCACTATTTTGATTCTCACTCTTGGTTGAATACATCCAACTTTCGGTTTCGCTTTTGTTAGGACAATTTCTGCAGAGATGTGCAATCCAAGTGTCAATCCGCCGCAGCATCCCCGAAATATTGTAAGCATCAATATTTTAAGTTGATCACTCCATGACTTTGGTTTGTATCTAGTAAAAAGTCTGTTGAATGTTTCAAACTTATCCTACTCTATTGTTTTGAATCATTTAGCTCACAATAGTACAACCTTGTTAAACTCGTAGAGTAAATGTGCATATGCTGTTACTAGTTGTACCACTAGTCACCCATCTTGGGAATTCCATTTCGTGGATGTTTGCAAGACTTTGAGGAAAGGGTAATATATATGGTAGTGAAATAAAACGAATAAATGAAATTTGCACGTGTTACTTTGGTAGTAATGTTGAAAATGAGTAGCCTTTTCCACTTTTGAAATTCACTCAAAAGAAACTGAGCATGTTATATTAAATTTACTTAGCAAAGCTTATGACTTCAATAAGATTTGTTTTGTGTATGAGTCCTTAAATGTTTGGTGAAATGTTTTTAATCATAAGTTCATTACAACTAAAAAAAATTAAAGTGCCAATTGGTTAACTAGATGATCTATTGTCTTTGGTATTAGTTTTTGAATAGGAGTATAGATAATTGAAGGTCTATAGTTTTTAGAGTAGTAAAGTATGTATTTGTAGCAAGACAATATTGAGGTTACTTATAGGAGTGTTTGAATTTAGGAAGTTGTAGGCCAAAACCATAGAATAGTTCAAAGTGTTGTAAGCATTTAGATTAGAGACAAAAGCATGAATTTTAAAAATCAAATTAAACCAAAAATAAATTATAATATTTTTTAGAGTTTTATTAAGTAAATATTAATAAATTTAATGTCTTATGGCTATTAGAAAGTATGAGAGAGAATAAAAATGAGAGGAATTAAGATTAAGCTATCTATAATATAATGGCACAAAACTCTCTATTAAATCTCAAATATATACAAGATCTAATGATAGTTCTTAGCACTCACAATTAATAAGATTGCTTCCACCAAACAAAACGTTTTTAAGATAATATTTTTGTTACCTAGTTATGTTAGAGAAGTTATGTCGGATTTATTATAAATAGAGAGGTTTATGTTATTAAGGTGGATAATAATGTAATAAAGAAAAAATTAGAGTTCTTGGAAAAGCATGTAGTTATAACTTGCTATACTATAAACAAATGTCTAATAAAGAAATGTGTCTGCTAATTTATTGTATTAGAAAAATTTTCCAAAGTCACATATAGTATAATACCTTACATAAAAAAAAATATATGTATATATATATATATATATATATATATATCTCAAAAATACTACAAGACTTAAAAAAACATGAATAAAAATGCTAAAACACAAAGAGTCACATGATGATATAATTGTCAGAAGCTACCTAATTCTATAGATTAATGAATGCACTTGTTGTCTTTTAATATATGTCGTCTTCCAACCAAGGATAATCATTTTCTGACATTTGTTATCTTCCAACACCTCTTCTTGCACTCATTCCTCTACACTCGTTTATTATTGTTCTTTAGTTATCAAACAAATTTAATGGAAATTTTTATTATTACTATATTTTAACATTCAAAGATGTCAAATAGCTGGGTACAATATTTACTGACAACTGCAGTGATCTAAATACTGAAGCAAGTCTAAACAAAAATCAGAACTCCTGCAAGAACTACGATATAGGATGTTGCAAAAGTACTTAAGCTCGGGAACGCTTCGCAGGAGTGCCCTCCTCTTCGTAACCCCCCCGATCGTCATTCTCATACCCACCACCTTTACCAGTCTTTCTGCGATCCAATATCTTATTGATTTTGTGAAGCTCATTGGTAAGCTTCTGGTCTTTGTTTTGCTTTCGTGTTTTGCGGCCATCCTGCATTTTAACTCCAAACTGGAATGCAGCTTTAGGCATAGCTTCTTTTTGCTCATTGTATTTAGCCCAATCATCCTCAGACTCGAAATCCCAACGATGCAACCTTCCTTTGGCCTGCAACAACAGAGCATAGGCATTATTAACCAAGCGTTAAATGAAAGCTATCTAATCAACCATGTAAGAAGATAGCATAAAGGGTTATGTACGTACTCTGCCACCCATATCCATCTTGGTCAGATCTTCGTCATCGTCACTGCCCACAATTTCACGGTTGTACTCTTGATATCCAGGGTAACATTCAGAATAGCTCTCTGAGATAAAATTGGGGTCCTTCTCACGAACATCACGTTCTCTACGTTGCTGCAACCGCTGATCATCACGCTTGAAGACAGACCCAAGCCCCCTGTCTTTCTCTTCTTGCGTCATCAAGTGTGGATCTCCTTGAACCTCCGGATTTGCAACCTGAGTTTTTCAATACTAAATCTCAGTAACAATAGTAATTACTTTTGTACAAAATCACAAAATATTCACAACTAGAGCTAATTTCCCTGAATATTATAAACGACCAAATCAATACCATCGGTATAGGTGGCAAACTTTCTGTTAAACATATAGAATCTGATACCACAAGCATATAAACTCCAAAAAACAGACTTTATAAACGTCACAACCTCAATAAACAAAGTAAGTTAAACATAAGAAGTGAAGTAAAATAAGATAAGAAGAAGAAACTCACGGCTGCAGTTGGATAATGTTCCATATATCCAGGATACTGCTCAGGTTGCCATGGTCCTGCATATTGTTCTGGAGGAGGTTGTGGATACTCAGTCCATTCTCCTGATGCATACGGCATTGCTGGTCCTTGAACAGAAGCATCATAGGTGGCCTGATGAGAGCAGATTTTTATTAGCAACTGAGACAAATTCTCAAACTGCTCCTCACAATAAAATAAAAATAAACAAAAAATTTAAAAATTGTAGAAATTAACGACTTGTACTGTCAAATTTACATGCTGAAAGTTCCCACGAATATGAAAACTCACAAACGGCCATGTTGTAAACAAGTTTGCATTAAAAGATCTAAAAACTTAAATTTAATTAAATTTATAAAAATAAAAAATAAAAATAAAAATAAAAAAAAGAAGAAGAAGACATCCCAATGTACCTTGAACGACATATTAAGAACTAGTTAAGTAATATGTACAAGAGAATGTACCAAGAGAAAGAAAGCTATACATACTTGATGCTGCCAGATTGGATTCAAGTCTTGAGAAGGTGGCATGGGACCATAATGTTCACCAAAGTAAGGTCGTTCATTATCCCGACCAGGAGACTCCTCCATATCCTCAGACTTGGGGCTGTCGTTGTCTCGTACTGTTGGCACATAATCAGTCCCTACACCTTCGAAAATATCATCATCCCTAGAAGGTGGATGTGGAGGTGGAGGAGGAAGTGGAAGATTGCTAACAGCAGCCTGATCTATACTAATTGATTCCCTCATTTCACCAAACCTGCGAGGTGGAAGGGGGGGAGGTGGTGGGAGGTTCTCCCACTCATGGGACCTATTTGCTGTCCCGTTAGTAGCGCCTCTCTCCCCGTCGTGTAAAGGTGTTTCACCCCCCAGAGATACACTTTTCGCTGCAATCCGTACCATGATTCATACCACAATGTTAAGGCCCATTCAATCCATTCATGTTTAAAATCACCCGACATCCTGGAAGTAGTGGATCCACAGTTCTAGTACACTGAACTATCTCAATCTACAGGTCTAGTGTAGTAGCAATGCAAATGTGGTATACAAATGTAATCTTCCAAACAAGCTTGTAGCCCTGGACAGTCTGTACATTTCCAGAAGAGAGGTCATGAAGGCATATTACCTCTAGATTCCTTGTCTTTCTTCTTCTTTTTCAAGGGCTGTACAAGAAACATAACGAAATAAACACTCAAGCACTCTTCATAACTATCAATATATATACACACACGAACAAACAAATAATGACTGGCTCTGATGCTAGCATAATATGAAGATGATATGAAGACTATATAATTTCATGCTCCTAGCTGAATCAAGACCAAATTTCCCTGTGTTCTAAAAAGCAACAGTCGCTACGTTTGTCACAGTGCTTGAATTTATATACACTGTGACATTGGACAAGATTTTTTAAAGTAGGAAAAAGAGAAAACCTTCCCGGCACCCAGACGAAGATACGTCATGATCTTTGCAATGCGTTCCAGCACTGTCCCATCCACACCCACTGTGACTGTTTCCTGCAAGGATTACGACACATTGTGAGCATGTTGTTGCCAGCTCCGAAGTCACTTGGCGATCATAAAAAGATTTCAATGCCAGTAAAGAGCATCGCAGAAATAACCAAAGGCAGAATGATTCAAAAAAAAAATGCCGCATGGGAGAGAAAAAAAACAAAAAAACAAAACAAAACAAAACAAAAAAACAAAAAAACAAAAAAACAAAAAAAAAAACGCAGGTAAAAATAGAAAGCTCGCCAGCCAGCCAAGAAAGTTAGCCGATAACAGACCTGTGGAGGAGGACAATCTGCTTTACTTCGATGAACAGTAGTAGGGATGTCATGTGCAAATTCTCCATCCTACATCACAAGAATTGAAAGAGAATTTAACCATCCATCACTGATTATAATGCCTGACTAACTGCTGGCAAACTTCTAAGGATTTGTTGAACTTAAGAGGCCGTCGATTTTCAAATGGATACAAAATTTCATCCTCCATAAAGTAGGATATTGAAAGTTAGAAATAGTTCACCATGTCGAATACAAACGCTGTACGTCCTGGTAGAAACATTGAATTGACTTTACTAACTGTCTGCGGCTTGCAAATCCATTGATACACCATCTGCACACAAATGTTCGGCAGCAAAGCTATAAAAAGAGTAAAGGGGTGATTGGCAATGTGTCGTGAGCTACTAATAACGATAAGCTCACCTATCAAATTCTAAATCTCGTCTGTAAGAAATACGAATACAAATTCCCCAGGTCACAAAACTCAGAGGACTTTCAATAATCTCGTAACACACTCGTCTGTCTACACGTGATTTTAGTCATCATTACAAAGTCTTAATAACCCTGAATAATCCATGTGATTGACTTGTGACAAAATAAAACCTGTCAGAGCACTGCACTCAGCTACTCACAGGTTCTGATTGGTTATACCTTAGCAGTAGCCGTGCGAAATGCCATGGTTTGATCTTCTTTCTGCTGCCTGTCAAAACATAAACGTTACCACTAGAAATCAGCTGAATATTAATTAAATGACACTGTACATAGAAAACATCGAAATGCTCATCTCGTAAACAGACCATCCGAGGGCAAGTAAACCCCACAGCAATAGAAACCATCAATGATTCAACAAAATCCAAGATAACACAAACACCATAGAGTACCTCTGACTAGCAGGATCCTCATTCTCAGGTTCTTTGTCAATCTCACTCCTAACTTTGTGCAGAAGAGCAAAATCAAGCCCCTTCACCAAATGCGTGTGCTCAACATCACCTACAATGAAGGGTGTCAGAATTGATACAAAACAGGCGTACGTTTGAACTGAGCGAAGCCTTCCGAGGTACTTCATTCATGCTAATACGACGTTGGGCACGACACTGAAGTTGGGACGACTTACCTCCAAGAAACTTGGAATTCTCGATAGAAATTCTGTGTGCATCGGTTAACCTGAAATGAAGCCCAAAACAGACTATGATTAATATGGGTTTAGGATAATGCTGCCGTTCAGCGTGGAGATCAGAATCCTGTCCCTCTGAGGGAAAAAAAACAAAAAACGAGGGAAACTTACAAACGTGTAAAACCAGGATTGTAGGATTCAGATACCTCATGTCAGCTGTGCCCGGGGGTCCCAAAGCATGCAATGAACCAAGCTCAGCAGATGTGTGATCATAATCGGGATTGATATCCTCCCGCCTCTCCTTAGCTCGATCACGATACCTCGGTAGATTGGCGTCCTCGCCAGCATTCTCCTCTCTAAAACAATTCCATGTTGTACAGGCGTTAAAATGCGAGTTCAAGCTTAAAAGTCCCAGTAGGTATCCATTCATAAAAGTGTGCTGAAGAGTGCAGTAATAAATCATGACTAACAAATCAGTGGTTACGACCTACTTACTTCAAGGACCAGTATGTAGAAACGCGCAAAAACTGTAAACAGCGAACTGTAAAAGCTTAGAAGTACAACTCTCACAGTATGAGCAAAGCTGTTACCTCATTCACAGAAACTGGGCCAACGATTTAGAAGTGGCCTTGTCAAATATTGATAATGCTAGTTTTCAAAAAATGGAAAGAAGGAAGCACAAAACGTACTCTTTCGGCTTAGGACGAAATTTGCGCTCCTTCCGCTTCTCGCCATCGACCTCACCATCAGCACCATCCTCGGCACGCCTCGGACGACTACAAGTTCAACCAAAAATTCATAAAAAAAGCTTAAGAAATTGAAATATTGGACAATGAAGACAAACGTTGGAGAACAGCACATGACTACTTTCATGTTCCTAAAAATTCCAATCACCAAGAATTTGAGCTTAACACTCTGAAGATACTTAGATTAAACTCATAAACCCCTAGTAGTTGCTGCATATGTACGTAAACTTCTTTAATGCAAAATAGAACAACATGATAAATCAACGACAGAAAGGACCCAACAAAAAATCAAATAACAACAAACTCTGAAGCATGATAATATCAAAACCGATAATAGCAAGAGAGCGTCCAACCCTCGAGGCCGCTCTTTCTGTTTGTCCTCCCCTCGTCGCGGCGTGTCCATCACCATCTTCCGAAAATCAGCATTGGACAAATTCTCGGCACGAGCTGCAGCTGCATCTAAGCTCTCCCTGCGATTATTCTTGCCCTGTGGCCGGGGCGGTGGCGGCAGCGGATTCGAGATTGGCATGTCGTCCATTTCCTCCTCAGAACCCATACCTTCACGCTCTCTATCAAAAACCCTGGCTCTTGAAAAGCTTCAAAACGAACACAAGAAAATGCCCCCACGAACCCTACTCCAATCTGCAAAACCCTCCAAATTCATACAAAACCCACGTATTGAGAATTCGGATCCAGAAAACGCCAGCATTAATCGCACCCCAACTTTCCGAAATCCAATCCTAAGGGTTAATAAATGTTTGTAGTTGTAAAGCGCCTTCATACTTACCGTTCTCACTGAAATGACGTCCAAATTCGATGCTGCAAATTCAAGCGGACAGCCTGCTGGCTAAAGTTTCGCGAGCGCCTTCACAGCAGCGATGTATTCCCATCATCAAGCGCTTCAGCAGCACAAAATCCTACTGTCCGCCATAGCACACAATCGGCCTGTGCGAAACAGCAGCGGGCAGTTCCAGGCCCTCGTCGATGGAGACTGCGGTCATGGGAGGAGCACCGTTTAAAGAAGACTATCTCAGTCTGGATGCAAGACCGTGGTCCTTCTCGTATTGTTGAATTGATTTTGTATTCTTTACTAAAGTTTTTTCAGAAATGAATCAAATAACTTCATTTGTCTATGCATTTTTTTAATATGTATATATTATTAAAATAATAATACCAATTCTATCTTATTCAATTGCTCAATGTCACTTTATATATATATATAAAGTGACATTGAAAATATATATTTGTATTCCATAAATATCTCTTACTCCTTTAAAGAGTATCTGAAGTTTGTGTAACTCATAAGATTTTACATTTAAAATATTTTCATTATCGTGTTATTATATTAACAAAATTATTTTTCTTAAGTTTGAGATAAAATTAGCATTTAAACTTAAATTGAATTTCTACAAAAGTTTTGTGTGTGGCCTCATGAGATTATTTTTCATAACAAGAACCTATCATACATTTATATCCAAATAATTTTGATTGTGGCTAGTATTATCATGCTCGGGTTTTTATTGTACATAAGTTTGGGTAATGTTTTTGTAAAATATTAATAAAGTAGTAGTATATGTAGTATACTTTTTTTTTTTTTTTTTTTTTTTTTGATTGCTTCCTTTTTAAACCAAATTTTAGTCATTTCAATATTTGAGTTTGTATCAATGATGATTTTATCTGGCAATAATAATTTCAAATTCCTTTTACAATCAATACTTTAAACTTTACCTTCAAGATATGTTATTACTCAAATTTTAAATATTTATAATGATTCATAAAATAAAAATAAAACAGTATTTTGGTTTATATATATATATATATATATATATATATATATATTTATCATTTCCTCATTTATGTAGTATGTTTTTTAAAATTTACAATAATAATGTATTAAAATAGTTTTTTAGTTTAATATTAATAATATTAATAGTTTGAACCTTAAATTATTTTTCTTTATTTTTAGTGTAGATGTGATTTTAATAAAAACATGGAGTATAGATATTTTCTATTTTTAGAATTTATTTTGAATAGTATCACATTGATAAAATCTAAAATTAAATATTATACCATGTTGCTTACAAAAGGTGTCTTTGATTACAGATTTTAGAATGGATCTTGTCTAGTGCATAAGACCTATGGATCTAGTCATGGATGCAAGAATAACTATTCTCTCTCTCTATATATATATATACACATTTCAATCAGTTTACTTTTTACTAAATACTTGATTATCAGCAAATGTTTCCTATTAAATATTATAATAATAGAAAATCCATCCACCTTTCAGTCCGTCAACCATGTCATCCATCTTCCGCCATCTCTCATCATCCATAACGCGTCGTTCGTTATTCGTCTTATATCATCCATCCGTCGAACCCCATCGTGTTGGCTTCGGGCTTCGGCGGAATATCGCAGTTCATTGGTCTCACTTCGTTTGTGCCTTCATCGCCATAGCCAGTCCATTCGGTTCTCCCTCGGGATCCATCTCCGGGCCCACAGCCTGCAGAACAACCGATTCGCATCCCTGGTTTCCTCTGAAAGTCCCTTACATCAGCTGCGGAAAATGGAGTGACCTCCGTGTCGATAACCAGGGCGGCGAGCTTTCAGAGAAGTTGGTGAGTGCCGGTGTCCATGCGCGTCTTGCAGCACCTGCAACGATACACCGTGAGACTGTAAAAAAGTGCTTGAGTCATCCTCGTCTTCAAAGTTGCACGTCACCTTCATGGATTGTCTCGACATACAGTTTTCTAGCAGGAGAGGGCGCTCCGAAGCGGGGACGAAGCGCTTCCGAAGGGTGTACTTAGTACATATGTGTACACGTCGTACTCGCATGATGTAGGATTCAATTGCATGCTTCAGGACTGGGATTTGGTAGATCTGTCCGCATCCTTCCGGGACTGCTTGCACTTTCGTCTCGGAGATTGTTTATGAGATCTTAATGTGCGTTCCGAGCTGCGCTTTTTAGCGATCTTGAGAGTGGCAGTTCAGGAACGCTACATTTTAGGTGGTGTGCGTGAGGTGTTTAGGTTTAGCATCTGTAATTGGTGAGCGTGTTCAAGCTTCTGTCGCGATTTCACAGTCTGATAACCATGAGTGACTTGTTTAAGGGCATTTGGAAGGGCGGGAAGGGCGGGAAGGTAGGAAATGGCGAAGATACCTTCGGAGATGTTGAGAGCGGTTGTGTGATTCAGATGACAAGCTTAGACGCAGATCCGAGTAGCATGGCAGATTTTTTTCGTGAGATAGGGGTAGTGCAAGGGAAAGTGAACGATGTCAAAATCCTTCTCCTTAAGCTCCAGAGCGCACATGAGAAAACCAAAGGAACTCACAAGGCAAGCGAGCTGAAAGAGATTCGGGCGGAGATGGACGGTGACATAGAGTCCGTGACTAAAGCGGCGCAATTCATGAAGTTCAAACTGGCAGAGCTGAGTAAATCGAATCTCGCTAATCGGCAAGTGAAGGGCTGTGAGGAGGGAACCACCACAGACCGCCAGAGAATGGCATTGACGAACAGCCAACGCAAGAAACTTAAGGAGCTCATGGACGAGTTCCAGGCGCTGCGTGCAACAATGATGGACGAGTACAAGGAAACCATCACTCGCAGGTAGGTCCCGATCACCATAGATACACTCTTCAAAAAAAAAACAAAACAAAACAAAACAAAAACAATAACAAAACAAAACAATTAGAACGTTTCGTCATTGCAATAAATTTCTTCACATGCCTTGGACTGATCGCGATGTGTTTCATGCAGGTACTACAACGTCACCGGGAAGCAAGCCGACGAAGAAACTACAGAGAACATGATCCGCACCGGCGAGAGCGAAACCTTTCTGCAACAAGCCATCCGACAGCAAGGCCGAGGCCAACTAATCGAGACCATCCGAGAGGTTCAGGAACGGCACGACGGCGTGAAGGAGATCGAGCGGCACTTCATGGAGATTCACAACATCTTCACGGACATCTCCGTGCTGGTGGATGCGCAGGGCCAAATGGTGAACGAAATCCAGGACAACATCAATCGCGCGACGTCTTTCACGCACCGCGGTGCCGATCAATTGGCGACCGCGAGGCGGCGTCAGATCAGAAAACGGAAGTGGACCTGTGTGTCCATCTTGTTGCTCATTGTTCTCATCCTTGTCCTGATCATCGCCTTAAAAATTGCTAAAATAATTCCATAGGAAAGCTCAGAAATCTGAGCTCGCTCTTGAAAAACAGGGGATGGCGCAGGTTCACCGGCAAACTTACGTTACCCCGTGGACACTTGCTCTTTCCTCGAAGCCTCGATCATTGACCTGAATTCTCGGGGTCAACCCGCAATTGCGTCGAAATTTGTGCCAGTTAAATTAATAGGTTTTGAATTGAGGCGTTCGAGACTCGGCTTGCTTGGGGTTGGACCAATGAGCATTATTGGATTTATCAAACACTACTATTTTACGTGATTTAGGGTTGGCAAGGCTAACATTGATAAGGCTAACAAACTACAACAAATATTTTTGACTTGTTGTAACAAAATGAATCATACGTGTGCATATACAACTATTTTATTGTTATTTGTAATACTTGAATGGATTTATGTATGATTGGGTAATATATTGCAATATAAAGTTTTGTGGGTTGGTAAGAGAAGTATGTTATTATTATTATTATTATTATTATTTATATATTAGTTTATTTTAATATTCATATATTTTCAAAATATAATTTATAATTTCTGATATCTTCTCTTATTATGTTGAATAAAACATTTAAAGCTTCAGTGGACTCATATATGTGTTTGATTTTTCTTATATAGCAGATCAGTGACAATTTGGTTTCGAACATAAAATAAAAATTGTGATGAAATATAGTTTACTGATATTTTTCGGTAATTTTTTTTAAGTATGTTTTTGAAAATTTGAAATTAAAAATAATTAATTAAGAATTAATAAACATATAAAATCCTATTGATTCTGTAACATACTCTGTTAATATTAAGTAGGTATAAAATTCTTTGCAATGTGCAAATAATAGAAACAATAAAATTATATTATTTGATAAAAAAATATTATAAAAATTTAAAAGAAACATTTTATTTTAATATTTTTTTATGTATACAAATTAATTCAACTATTAATGCAAGTGGTAATCCAATATTTTCAACTTGTTTCTTTAATCTAAAATAGTTTATCACTTTCAATAATTATGTTTTAATTTTTTATGTTTTATTTAATTAGCATATATATATATATATATATATATATATATGCACATACTTCTTTCTTTACTGCATGTGTTATTACATCTTTGTGTATTATAAACTTACTAAATAACTATTTATCAATATGAATCCAAATTATTTTGTTGATAATTTTAATTTGTATTGCTTTCATTGTGATTTATATCAATGATACAAATTAAAGCACTTATATGTTTTTGCCATCCGGGCTTGATTTTGTGATTTTAGTTTACAATAATTATCTTTTTACTGTGAAATGATCATGATGTATTTGCACTAAATTTGTAATACAACAAAAAATGGATTGATGTTGTGCTTAAGTAGGAAGTCAACTGATTGATTAGGTGATTGAAATATAAATCAGATTTGACATCAAAGTTTGGGATTTATTTTTTAGATTATAAAATAAATCATTTCAAGCAACATTATTTTATTTTATATTAACAACAAATTAACCACTTCTCAATGCATGTATAGGAACCAAAATACAGTACCCCAAAAATGATGATGTTCATTGTGGTAAAAAGTACTTACAATGTTCACTGTTATGACAAAATTGTGAGGATATTTAATTATATATATATATATATATATATATATATATCTTATATCAATGTGAATATATCCTATTACAAAAAATAATATTTAATAGTATTGTAATTAAATTTAATAATCAATCAAACTAGATAAGTTTATTATTATTATTATTATTATTGTTTATATTTCATAATGAGACAATTTTTATTGTATGAAATAAATTTAAAAATAAAAAATATTTTTTAAATATAAAAGACACAATCTCATAACTTAATTATTGCATTAGATATATCAAAACTTGAAATGATTATTAAAACCAACTTGATAATTTTGTGTACTTTTAATGAAAAATATAAGTTGTTTTATGTGTTATCACAAGGCCTCTTAATACTAGGACTTTCCTTGAAATACCTAATTTAGCTTATTTTAGGATCATAGTCAAGTTTTATTTAAGGTAAATTTGAAATGGATGAAATTCATCTATAAAGTTGTCCAAAAACATCAATCCTCATCAAATTAAAGAAAGTCCATCAAATTGTTTAAAGGGTAGAATACTCTTAAGCAAAAAATCCATGAGGCATTGCCTATACTTGTTTTTCTCCCACTCAATCATGGAGATGTCACATTTGACAATGATAATATTACAAAAATAGAGGCCAATCTTCTACAATTTTTTTGAAGTTGTGAAAATTCACCATCACAATGACTCCATCTAACATAATTTTGCTTTTGCAAATTAGAGTATTTATCAACAAAGTCCTTGAAGATGATCTCCTTGTCATAAATATGCACCATAGTTTGGTGGTCATTTTCAATATCCTTGATGGATTGAGCATCCTACCTAGCTGATTCTACCAACAATTTGTGCTGATAGATAGAAATGTATAATAGAGATGTTTGTAATGCACACAAATTAAGGAGCAACACTTGTCAAAGATACAATGTAAAAGAGATCCAACAAGAAATAAAACAAAAGAATTTCAATAAGAAAGTTAATAAGAACTTATTTAAGTAGATAAGTATAAGATTAATACCAAGAGAGGCAAGCTAGAGCTACAAAAAATATATTTTTGAGACTAAAGATTCCCTCGATCTTGACTCCAATATATATTAGGTATTAAGAAGCTTCTTAAGAAGTTTCTATATTGGTTAAAGATGAAGCAACCTTAGAAAGCTCCTCAAGAAATTCCTATGTTGCTTGAAAATAAAACAATTCTAAGAACCTTCTAAAACAACTTTTTTAATTCTCTTAAAACTTTTTAGAACCTATTAAAATATTCTAAAAATATTTTAGAATCTTCTAAAATATTATAAGAATATTCTTAAAATCTTCTTATTGGATGTCAATAACAACACTATTGAAATGTCTTTATTGCATGCATCATTATTGTGACAATATTTGACAATAATAGATGTAGTTAAATCTAATAAATATGACCTTGACTTCTACTATGCATAGTGAAGCCATGAGGCTCATCACAAAGATGCCTTGATCTTGAATGCAAGCCTCTATACTTGTAAGAGCTATACATTAAGATTTGCAAATGATCAGTTTTGAAGTAGTATAAGCCATGGTTAGAGTCTTTGCACTATATGGACCTTGTACTTCATACATATCCACCAAATATCAAATGAAGCCTTAAAGTTGAGCTTTCCATTGATTCAAAATAGTATTCAATTTTTACAAGCGAGTTACAATAGTAGAAATTATCTCCGTTGTCATATTGTAAGTGCTTATAGTATGTAAAAGTTAATTAAGACATATAATATGTTTGTAAGTCTTGATGTAGATTAGAATGGTTAGTAAATAAATTTAAAGAGAATTGATATAAGAAAATTTAATTGGATATTTATCTATTTTGATTATAGTGTTTATATTATGTAGGATTTAGATATTTAGTATAAAGCTTAAGAGAAGGTTGGAATTTAAAGCTAAAAGTCTAAACTATTAGAAGGCTTTTTGGGAAGGATGAAAGCAAGGTATGGTTGGATGAAGGCAAGGGGTGAAGACCTTCATGCCTATTGATCAAATGTCATGTCCAATGGGCTTCAAGGAGGCTGCCTGAGGCCTTGTTAGGGATCAAGATTTCACTTTCAGGAGCATTCGAGCTTTGGAGGCTAGGATCAGCAAGTTCAAGGTTTTGGGTATAATTTGGATGAAGAGTTTGTGTGATTTTGATTTTTTATGAAGGAGATATAGGTGTTCAAAGTTAAGGTATCAAATTTGTATCTACTATCACTCTTTGAAGCATAACATATGTATACAAAGAGCACTAAAAGATCAGCACCTGGAATTGGAGAGAACACGTTTTTAGCTACACTTTACATATATTTTTTGATGAATTCCAAGTCTAAATGAAGGAGTTATAGGGCATTGAAGACAACACATGTAATTCAAAGGCAATAAGTGAGTCATTTTATTGATAGTAATGGTTGGAGCCATATCTTGAGTTTCTAGATGAATTTTTGGCTCAAAATTTTGATAAGTGTGAGTTATTAGGTTAAAAAGCTATAGATCAAAGTTTCATGGTATTTGAGTATTTATTTTGTGAGATATGAAGAAAATAACATGCAAGTATATGTAAGCTGGGGTTTAAAGCTATTATTAGAATTTTGGTGATATCTCAAGATTTGTAACGAATTTGTAGTTGAATTTTTTTGTGGTAGTTTTTGAAAGTATATTAATACTTCATGTAAAATTTTAGGTTTTTTGGACAGTCCGATCATGAGATATAAGTTGTTGAAGTTCAAGAAACATTTTTCATAAGGATATATAAGGTTTTAGGATACTTTATCATATATTTGGGTCTTTTTTTTTTTTTTTTTTTTTTTTTTTTTTTTCTTGGTACTTGGGCTAATGTATTGATTTAATTGCCCTAAAAGAAAAAATATCATATATATAAACTTGGTACTTTTATATCTTAGACTTGATTAAGTATTTAATAGCTGTTAGAAGCTCAGCGCTTTCTTGAAGCAAACTCTCTCTACCCCAATACCGCAATGTCGTTGAGTGTGAGCTGTATCACCTATCAAGAAGAGAGAGGAATATGTGGAAGCAACTTTTGTGCTAGATACTCACAATTTATTGTATGCACTTGCCATAAAAATTCACTCAATTTTTTTTTATGGATAACCATTGCATATCCATAAAATTTAAGAATGTACAATCTATCTTCTTGATGAGATTATACTACTAATAAAAATAAGAGATGATGCCCATGAAGATGTTGATGAATTGATCATTAAATAGCTTGATGTACTCAGCTTAAACTACGAGGTCAAGTTTGTACAAAATACAGCATACTTGCAAACATCTTTAGCTTTCTCAACCATCCTCACAATGACATCAAAAACTTGTCTAATCATCATTTGTTTGCCATCCGTGCTAATTTCAAATAGTTTTATTTTCCATTTTGGATAATGACATGTAAAAGTTTTGCACTTCCAATAAAGATTACTTCAACTATCTTATAATTGAAAAGCAAAATAGTAAGATAGTTGAGGTTGTGCAACTTCAATTGATGGTTGAATTAGAGTCAAAAGTCAAGATAAGAAGTGTCTTGCTTTGAGTCAATATTAAGAATGAGTGAAAACACCCTTTACATGCAAAAGAACTTAGTGATTTTTTTATAAGCTCATAATACAAAGTACCTTCGTAAATAAAGCCACATAATTGTCAATGCACCTGTTAAAGCAATCCATGTGCAATATTATTTTTGAAACATCCATGAGACATGCTTCCATTTGAAATAAAGCTTTACAAGAGACAAAGTTGATTATGAGATGAAACAAATGGAAAGAATTG